GAAGCTACATGGTTTGAGCTCGCCATTCACTTCCTTTTCTACCTTGCACATTGCCGATTTCTTCTTTGCTTTTCCCAAAAGCCCAAATTTGGGCTTTTCAAATTCAAAAGTAAAGACGTCATTGAGCTGCTTTTCCATAAATCGGCTATCAATCATGGGGGGCAGATTTGATTTTTTTTTTTGAAGCCATGGCCAAATCTTCTTGTGCTGCTACCGCATCCAAATGTTTTTTGTTATTATCTTTGAAAAGCAATGAACAAAAGCATTACATTTTTTTATAATGTACCTGCTTGTGATATCTTAACCACTTAAGGTACTTCGAATTTATTTTGGATTTTCTGTACAAAAATGATCGCATTTTCTTTTTACACAAAATTATTATTAAAGTATATTTTAATATTTTAACATGTTTCTTGCAGTTTTAATGAAGTAAGAAGTATTTTAATATACATCATTATTATAAATTTTTATTTATAAATTGCAAGTTAGTTTTCTTATGAAATTTTGCAGTAAAAATATTTGAAATATTTTCCAAGTTTTAATATAGATATATCGATGAAATTTGGTATGTGCCGTAGCGTTAGTACATGCTATCGCTGTTCTACAACATTAATTGTTGGGAAGTAACGAGGCTACACGTTACAAAGTTGAAAATAAACTTTAACGGGAAAGCGGATTCAAATTGCAAGCACAGTCCTTTTAGTAAAGAGAGCAAATTTTCGGAAATATGTTTTTGCTACATCAGCCTGAATAGATTATACAAGATAGAGCAAATAACAGGTTCTATCTTGTATAATGTTTCCAGCCTGATGAAGGAAAAACATATTTCCGAAAATTTGCTCTCTTTACTAAAAGGACTGTGCTTGCAATTTGAATCCGCTTTCCTGTTAAAGTTTATTTCCAACGTTCTATTATACAACATCATTCAAATAAAATTATTTAAACTACAGGCGTCGTGAACTGAGGGGACTGGGCCAATTTTATTTAATATTTTTTACATCTTTGACTATTTAACAAATACAACCCTGGAATATGATTTAATGCTAAAACATGCATTAAAATGGTACTCTTAATTTATTTTGTATAATTAACAGTTTCCGAGAAAACTGCTTAAAATTTTTTATCTGCTTAGATGCTTAGAATGATACAAACAATCTTACTTATTACTTATTTTTCAACTTTGGAATCATAAATTTTAAATGTAATAATAAATAACCAAAAATTATTAACTTATTACGGAACATAATATTACCGCTCGTAGCCAGGGGCAGTTGACAACAAGCCTTTCTTGAAATATGAAATAAAAATGACCAACCACCAGTTCGGGATGCCTATGGTTTAAATAATTTTGGATAATGTAATATGGTAGCACATACTAACACTAAGACACAGACATAATTTTATTACTTTATATTAAAGCGTTTTTGAGATATTAATCAGAAATTAACTTTTCATCACCTCCTTGAAGGGACTGTAGTTCCCTTAGGAAGAATTTTAGGACACGTGTTCACAGAAATGTTTTTTCTTAAAATAACCTAAGGATTCACCCCCAAAGTTGTGTTGGACATTTTCCAATCACTCTGGATATATCACAAAAAACCCTCCTAATGTATGCAAAAATGTTTACTGTATATTTATATGCCTGCTGCACACGACTTTTTCAGTAAATTTAAAATTACAAACAACGCTACCAAAAGACCGTTGAACAGATGACATATAAAATAAGTCCGCCAGAGTGATACGGGAGCATGTACAAATGAACAAATGTACCGGTAAGGGGAGCCCGTGTGAGAAATGAGCTTAAGTGATTAATATCTCTTGCGATATCTTAATATATCAATAAACAAAAACATTATTTTTTTTGCAATATACCTGTTTGTGATATCTTAAATGTTGTATCTTGCGTCACACTTTTCTGTAATCGCAGCACTCAGCGCGTCTCATTGATCAACCCTTACAAAAGAAGTATCAACACATACTAATCTAACTATCTAACTAATCTACGCGAGTACGTACTCGCCTAACCTTGGCACAAGGGTGGGAGCCCACTGCTGGAATCCTGTCTACCATGGCATTATGCTAAACCGCGCTCTCTCCTTCAAGGCACACGTGGAGAAGACATAAGGCAAAGTTAGCACCTGGAACAACATACACCTCTACCCCGATATAATGCTGTCCTTGGGAGCCAAAAAATCTTACCGTGTTATAGGTGAAACCGCGTTATATCGAACTTGATTTGATCCACCGGAGCGCGCAGCCCCGCCCCCCAGAGCGCTGCTTTACCACGTTATATCCAAATTCGTGTTGTATTGGATCGAGTTATATCGGGGTAGAGGTGTACTCAGGAAGCTTGCAAATTCAGAATGGGGAACCAACCCAGGAACACTTAGAGCCCTCACACTTGCACTTTGCTATTCAACGGGTGAATGTGAATGTCTGGTGTGGGAAAGATTGGGTCATGCAAAGAAGTGTACCCTGTGCTGAATAACAGCTGCCTTATATCACAGGATGCCTAAAACCAACAAATGTGAACAGCCTTTATGTGCTTGCCAGAATCGCTCCACCAGATATTGGGAGAATGGTCACAAGCAAAATGAAATGATTATGATAGGTCAAAGATATCAAACATCCTTAATGGCCACACCATGGCAGGTAGACACCTGAAATTGCGGAAAAGCTTCATAGCTGCAACAGTACTGCTTAAAAAATCACCGATGGCTACATGACAGGAAAATGGCACACTCAGCTTGAAATACTTGGAGGACATCAAAATGCACATCTACATTGCTGAACACCTTCCTGCAGGCATGGAGAAGGATTGGTCAACCTGGAGATATTTAAACCACCTCCGAACAAGAGTTAGCATGTCAAAAGTCAATAGGCGGAAGTGGGGCAACCCCCAGACACCTGACTGCACAAACCCTGGAACATCTGTTGGTTTACCAGCTCCTGGAAGAACCATGCACTATGGAAGATCTCAGCAGGGCTACAGACCAGGCCATATCATGTGTCCGACATTGGAAAACCTATGATTGTGGTGGAAGAGCATGAGAAGAAGATTTGTTCCAACAAGCCTTTTCTAAATTTATTTTTTCACCAAACTAAGATGGTGAGGCAGTGACTTTGTTAGGTCAGTGAATGGCTTGACTTACACACTCTTTGTTTTCTTTAAGCATAATAAACTCCCTGTATGCCAAGGCAGTATGTGGAATGTAGATGAATATACAGATAAATAAGTGCAACGTATTACTAGCATCTAACAATACAGTATTTATGCTTAATTGCATAAACAGGCACAGCCAGAGAACTTCTAAAATACAGGCAAAACTTACTAACAAACCACCATATTAAAAATCCTGAGACACTAATCCAGGGTAGGCAACCTATGGCACGCGTGCCAAAGGCGACACACGAGCTGATTTTCAGTGGCACTCACACTGCCCGGGGTCCTGGCCACCGGTCCAGGGGGCTCTGCATTTTAATTTAATTTTAAATGAAGCTTCTTCAACATTTTAAAAACCTTATTTATTTTACATACAACAATAGTTTAGTTATATATTATAGACTTATAGAAAGAGACCTTCTAAAAACGTTAAAATGTATTACTGGCACGCGAAACCTTAAATTAGAGTGAATAAATGAAGACTTGGCACACCACTTCTGAAAGGTTGCCGACCCCTGCACTAGTCTCATGTTTATTAATTATTATTATTTTATTATGGAATCTGTTTAAATTCCATAACAAAACAAAATACTTTAGTTAGGGGAAAAATCACCCAGTAAGATTCACAAGCTGCCACTGATAAATATAATAAAATATATTTATTGAGCATGGACATCAGTCAAGTCCCTAATGGATCTTTTCCTGGCACTTGTTGCACAAGTATCTGTCACCATGATAAGACAGCTAAGTTCACTTAAAAGGCTCTTTCTGGCTTTGTTTTTAACCCTATCACCTCCCTCTCCCCAGAAAAAAAAAATATTATGTGGGGGGAGGGAGGAAAGGAAGCCCTTTGTCACCATCCACCAGAAATCACCTCATACATGGCTACATACACCCATCACTGATCAGATCAGTATAAAAACAGGAGGCTAAATCTTGCTCTCAACTAGGCCAGTGTAAAGTCAGAGAAATTTCACTGACTTAAACTAAGTTACTTCTGATTTACACTGCTGTAAATGATCTGAATCTGATTTAAATGATCAGGGCAGAATCTGCCCCAGGATGTCCACCAACCTGTGGGAGTCCAATTTTTGGGAATGGCTGTAAAGTGAGCTACAAAATCTGCCAAATTACTGTGGCTGAAATAGATGATTTTTGTGACATTCTTTGGGCAGGCTCACAGCATAATGGTAAAACTGTGGCCTGGGATGCATAAATGATATAATAAGCATGCAGCAACAGAGTGATGAACAAACCCTGCGGAAACTAGGAGAGGAGGGAATAAAAAATGCATCCCCTGGTTGCAAACTGAGTAATGTGCTGCTGGTGGGAGGAGTGGAATGGAATCTCTCTCTCTGGGCGTTTATACCACCTGGTAGGTGTGTGGAGGGGGGAAGAAGGAGAGTGGGGCTAAAGCCCTTGAACAGGGGGCTCTCTGGGATTGTGCTCCCCAGTAGATTTGTGTAGGCATCTGGGTTGTGTTCCAATGCCCATTGGAGTCAGTGGAAATACTCCCATTGACTTCAATGGGCTCTGACTCAGGCCCTGGGTGCAGCTGAAAGCTTTACCAACCCAATCCCTGCTCCAGCACTCTCCGGAGAGGTCCTCCCTGTCCCGCCAACGCCAGCACCGCCCAGCTGGGGGGAGGAGCAGTTTAGGGCAGGTTTGCAGAGGCAGCAGGTCACTGACTGCCGAAAGGGAGGGAGGGGGAGTTCCAGCCTCAAGCCGCCCCTTCCCCAGAAGTGACTGGCTGCAAGGCTGCTCTCCCCTCCCCCCGAAGGAGGGGCCGCGCGAAGCCATCCCCTGGAGCTCGCACGCGCGCCCCAGCAGCACCTACTTCTTGCAGGGGATGAGCCCCTTTCTCTCCTCCAGGAGCCGGAGGCGCTGGTTGGGGCCGTCGTAAGACACCACCGCCCTGGTGTTCCTGCCGCTGCTGTGGTCGTAGGCCACCGTGCGCCCCTCCCACTGCAGCGGCGCCTGGCACGGGGTGGGCGGCTGCCCCCGCCCAGCGCGGCCCTGCGGGGCGGCGGCCAGCGGAGCCCCGCCATGCAGGCACAGGAGGCCGCCCAGCAGCAGCAGCAGCAGCCGGGGTTGCCCCAAGCAACCGCCGCCTCGCGCCATCCTCGGTGTCTCCTCTGTCAGCGCGAGCCCGGCGCCCTGAGCCCCACTCCGGAGGCGCTGGTGGGGTGACGGGGGGCGGGGAGCAAGCCGGGTGCTGCTGAGGCGCTGGAGCTGCCGCCGCTCGCTCTCTGGCCCCTTCTGCGTCGCTGACTGGGGAGGCGAAGGCGGGTCTGGCTGACTGCGGCAGCGGCAGGCGCGGAGCCAGGGCCCAGCAAATTCTGCAGCTGGGAGAGAGACAGGAGCGGGTGCAATGCTGAGCAAGGGCGGCGGCTCTTTGATCTCTCTCTCCCTCTCTCTCTCCCCGGCCAGCAGGGACTGCGGAGGCAGAGTGCCGCCTGCAGCCCGCCGGGCATCAATTATTTAAACAACAGACACGATGGGCAAGGACACACACGCCTCCTTCCACCAGCTCCCTCGTGTTCTCTCCCCGTTCATTTCACCTCTTCCCTTATACGTTTCCTGCCACAGGCATTGCGTATGGGATAGCCCCGATTCTGTAGCTGGATGAACATCATTTAATACCAGTGCAATAGGAGGGGAGACATCATCTGATGCCAGTGTCATAGTTGGGTGGCAGCCTATGATACCAATGCCACAGCTAGGAGCGCTGCACCTGAAGTAATACTCTGACTAGAAATACTGGATATTAAGCCTGTATTGATAGCTATTTCATATACCTCTTTATGTTCAGCCCTGTGAGTTTTCTCCTTGAAGGCTTAATTAAGATAAAAGGGAAGCAAACAATATATATGTTAATGTCATTGCTCAGTTTATAATGATCACATATTTCTTATTCAGCAAAAAAAAAGGGGGGGAGAGACAATACGTGGTTTAAAATACGTTCATGCTCGTGCTCCATATATAAACCAGAATAGGAAAGTAGACACTTTTCAGCAAGGAGCTAAATGGCCACTTGTTTGGGAAGTCGATTGTTTGCTTGCTTTCCATTTGGGCCTTATATTTTTGGTTTGTCTTTGACAAGAGCATCTGTGATATGGAATTTGATTGTGAGCAAATCTGATCACTTTTTCCTCTAAAAAAAGAACAGGAGTACTTGTTGCACCTTAGAGACTAACGAATTTATTTGAGCATAAGCTTTCCTGGGCTACAGCCTACTGTGTTTTGTGCGTGTGTGTGATCAAGGGTTCCTATAAGGCAGTGAACGCACACATTTGAGCATACAATTTTGCCTGCCCCCCAAATTCCTACTAGTCTCAAAGCAGAGCGACTATCTGAAGGACTGGACGCTGCAGACCAATTTTATCATATCGACATATATTCGTGTCGTATTGTCGTGTGTTTGGGGCTCATGGAGGGAGGGAGTTGAAGAATGATCTGCTTAGAGAGACCTCTCTATAATTTTACTTTTGAAGGAAAACATTTCACTTTCCCTGGCACCTGCTCTCCAGTCACTAATACGAGCATCCCCTTTCCCCCAAACATATCCGTTCTTCCCCCATTTGCCTTGGAGATTCCTTGACCTAGGTTTATCGTCTTCTGAGCAGTTTCCTAGAAAAGAGGGTGGGGGGAGGCAACATGGGTTACTAAAGCACACACGGAACTAGAGGTCAGGGCGCTGCTGCTGCTGCTACTACAAACAGGAAAGCACATCAACTGAAAATGCACCTTACAAAATAATCTTAATGAGAGGGGATGGGAAATTGCTACCCTAGGAGGACCACAGTCTGCCCTTAGTTACATCCCCGCTATGCCAGTGACTGCAATATGCCATTGCTCTCATCGGAGTTGCACAGTTGAACTGAGGGCAGAATTTGGTCCCTATTAATCAAGGACGAAATTCAACTGTTTTAAATAGCTGTAAATCCGGAGCAATTCCAGTGAACACTATGGGATTACTCCTAAATTACACCGATGTAACCGTATAATTTAGTCAAATGAAAGCCTCTGGGTTCGGACTAATGAAAGGGACAAAACGACTCGAATGTGAACGGTCTGCACTGTTTTCTAAAACACTGGCGGCTGCTGGTTTGTGACACAAAGTGCTTTTGAAAAACTTTAAATAATATCGTATCTTCCCCTCCCACCTATTCCTTTGCTGATCCGGTTTATGGGGGGGGGGGTAGTAGGTGGAAATTTTACTAGGGCGAAGTGGGTAGCTAATGGGATTTCTCATAGCAGCAACAGCAGGTGCAACACGACTATTGGCGCTGTGCACTGAGGTTCACTCCAGGCTCGGATCGGCTGCTGCTGTCCCAGCCAAGTTCGTTTCCAGAAAAAGTAATTGACCAGTTTGTATATTTCATGTTTGTTTTGTGAAGTCTAAGTTTCACATGCAGTATCTACCTCTGGAGCCATTGCAGTAACTGCGTAATAGTCAGAATAGACAGAAATAATAGCAACATTTTTTAAAAGCGGCAAAAGTTTCTGTGCTTTGTCTCTTTGAAAATGTAGGAAAAGGGCATAAAGTTCAGTGCTGCTTAAAAGAGTATCGTCCTTGCTCCTATTGAACTTCCCCTCCCTCTCTCTTAATTCTGCGACTGAATTTGCAGACCCGAGGTAGATGAGGGAAGCGCTTTTTTCTCTCTCTCGTCTTGAAAGAATTTATTGCACAGATCAACACTGAATGGCTTGTTGAAATTTATCTTGAGACGCAATGAGAAATTTAGTGATGTCGCCCTGGGATTAAACCGAGTGGAGGTGATGTCACCCTGTCTGAAAAGAAAAACAAACACACACACCAAGTGAACGATGCTGCCAAGAAGAAAGATCAACCCCCACGTCACTTGTGGCACTCGTATAAATATGGCCCTACAATTTCCATGGCTGTCTGTAAGTCTCAGATAGCTTGAACTTTGGAACAAGAGAGAAGCTCTGTGTCTTTTTAGCACTGAGGCACAAGGAAATCTAGAAGTTCATCTTTGCCAGTGGTTTTTATGTGCCAGAGTGATAGGGAACGGGGATAGACCAGCATCTCTTTAGCTCTTTCCACTGAAAGCTGAATGAGCGACAGGATCAGCCTGTGAGACTGATTACCCAAGACTTCGTGAGAGGAAGCAGAGACTCTCCGGAGCGACAAACGTTAGTCCCGCCGCTAAAGGCTGGGAAAATGCTAGCAACCTTGGCAGCGCTCTTCCTGTGGCTCAGGGTCAGCATGGGGGTGCATGGTGCTCCCTGCGAGGCTGTGCGCATCCCCATGTGCAAGACCATGCCCTGGAACATCACCAGGATGCCCAATCACCTGCACCACAGTACCCAGGAGAATGCCATCCTGGCCATCGAGCAGTATCAGGAGCTGGTGGACATCAGCTGCAGCCAGGTGCTCAGCTTCTTCCTGTGCGCCATGTATGCCCCTATCTGCACCCTGGAGTTCCTCCACGACCCAATCAAGCCCTGCAAATCGGTGTGCCAAAGAGCCCGAGATGGGTGCGAGCCCATCATGAAGAGGTACAACCACAGCTGGCCCGAAAGCCTGGCTTGCGATGACCTGCCTGTGTACGACCGAGGGGTCTGCATATCTCCTGAAGCCATAGTCACCGATGTCCCTGAAGGTGAGGAGGGACCAGTGTTTGTGTGTGTGTGTGGTGGGGGGTACACTAAGGCAGGGCTCATTGGGTAGAGAACCTTGATTATAAGATGGCAATTTTGAATTCAGATTTGTGCCCTTCTTCACCAAGTCTCTGGAAAGCAGAAAGCTTTAGTTAAGTGGGTCCCAAAAGCACAGAGCTCCAGAAGCTCCAGCACTGTGTAGGGCAATCTATCTCTCAAATATAACACAGAGGGACAGGTTTTGGCGAGGACTGCAACTAGTCTCTCGGGTAAATGTTTGTCTTTTAAAAAAAAGATTTCTCAGCAACAAACAAACAAACAAACCCAAACAAACAAACAAACAAACAAACCCAAACAAGAAGAGATTGAATTTCCTATGGGCAGGCAGCTTTTCTGAGAACACTGAAAAGCCAATCTGGGCAGAAGGACTCCAATATCCTCTCCAAGTCTCACTGGTGTTACTAGTCAAAACGAGAGATGATTCAGAGTTAGGCATAAGTGAACATTGAATAGTGATGTTTAAGTACGCCTTTCAAATTTAAATGTCAAATTGGCAGTGCAATACACAAAACTACACACCAGGCTTTTGTCCACGAAGCGAACTAGCAGTCATACAATGATATATTGCAGATTTTATTCCCTTCTTTTAAACAATTTACAGTGCTGTTAAAAAAAAACAAGTATAAGACCTGATGCAGACATATTTTCGAAAATATAGTGAATCAATGTTTTTTTAGGAAAGATTAACTATTTTAAATGCTCCCCGAGATGTGTATGCTAGTGAAGTGATTCCGGAAATATCAGAGATGATTTTTTTCGTTTATCTTCTTGTGTTCATTTCTTTTCGGTAGCAAAAACCAAATTCTGTGCAAATTTTATTGTGTATGTTTTTAAATAGATGTGAAGTGGATGGATTTTACTCAAGATGTAATGGTCCAAGAAAAACCTCAAGAGTCTAACTGCAAGAATCTAAACCAGGGTGCGTCTTCGTAAAGGTCCCCCTTTATTTCTCTCGAAAATAATTCTGTAATTGACATTAATTTGTAATTTTTCCTTATGATTTTTTTTTTTGAAGCTCGATGCAAGTGCCGGAAGATAAAGCCTACCCTAACAACATACCTGACCAAAAACTACAGCTACAGTAAGTCAACCAGTGAAATAATTTCATTTTCAACTCTTGGCAAAATTTCCCTAGAATCGCATTATCTTCTGGTTCCCTTCCCCTGGTTCTTTTGATATTATCAAATTATTATAGCTCCTCTACTTGTAATCCATGACAAGCCGCATCGTAGGTTTTAAGATTAAATCAATAAATGAATCTTAAAGAATCACTTTTATCTGGCACTTTAAAAGATGTTGCGCCTGAAACCTTATTTTCCCGAAAAACAACAAGAAACAAATATCTAGAACTAACGTGGTCATTAAACTCGCTAAATTGTTGTAGTATTTTTAGAATACAGACCGGTCTAACAAAACGTAGTGGGACAGATTGTTTAACAAAAATGGAGAGGGCCATGTGAGCCGTTTCTAAATTTTCCTGACGTTGTTTAATGCAACTCAGTCTAGTGACAAGTAACAAAATAGCTGGAGATCCTATGAATTGCAATTTTTATTTTGCTATTTCAGCTGGAATAAATTGG